ATATATATATATATATACTATGTTTAAACCCATGAAAACCACGATTGAGAAATAATAACATTATTGATGAGTAGACTCCACAATTAAAATAATTCAGATTATATCCAAATATTTGGTCCTTGTTACCTGTTCCAATACAGTTTTAACACAGAAAATATAGATTGAATAGCTTGATACAGCTTTAATTATTCAAAAACTAATGAAATTGAATTATGGAAAGTTTCATAACTATTTTTTATATGAGAAATAAGACTATATTTTTTGTTCACAACTTTTTATTCTATCTTAATTTGAAAATAGTTTATGTATCCAAGAGAAAGGACGTTTACTTTGAGAAAGAATTATAAATGTAACTTATCCATGACATATTGAGAATTTGAGATGACATTGACGTATGGAATAAAAACGAAACAAAAGAAAACCATAGGCAAACATATCACGTCCATACACGTGTACGGTAGAAATCTCTTCTTTAGTCTATAAATAGAACCTCATGATCAAACTAAAAGATCACCAAGCTTTCAGTGAATTCAATCAAGAACACAATCTAGTACTCCACGAATTAAGCTCAAAACCTTCGAATCATGTCAAGCGGAAAGTGCAGCTGTGGCTCAAACTGCTCATGCGGCAGCGGTTGCAACTGCAACTCGTAATTCTTCTCCCTCTTCTTCTTTTAAGTTATAACAAATCAACTAGTTTTTAATTCTCAAAATCATTTCATTTATAATTATCGATTTTCTGATCGACATGTTCTTATTTTCCGGCAGATGCGGCGTTGAGACGTCGACCACCGCCACCATCATCGTTGCTGGTGTTGCACCTAAGATGACGTATGTATTTTTACTGCTTTCGATGCATACAACAATTGTATTAATTAATTTAAATAACTGTTATTATTTAAAGTAATTCATAGATTTTATACAAAAATTAACTTTGTAAATATGCAGATTTGCTGAGGGAACTGAGACCAGCTTTGTTGCCGAAAGTGGAAACGGGTGCAAGTGTGGATCAAGCTGCAGCTGCGATCCATGCAACTGTTAAGCACAGAATATATCTCGACCCAAATAAGAACTTGTGTTTGAATTGAAATGATTTACTCTTTATGTATGTTGTTTTGTGTTTTCATGTAATGAATAAAGATTCCTATGTGGTATTAAGGTATTTGGATTTGTAATGGGGTTTCCATGGTTTATTTTTATTCGTGTAAAGTCAACGCTTTGAAAATTTACTTGTTTGGGTCTTGATTTATAAAAGCTTGATGTATATTTGAATGAATGAGATTGTATGCTATAAATTTGAAAAGCTTGATGTATAATTGAATGAATCAGATTGTATATTATAAAATGATGTTATATATGGTTGTTGACCTTAACCCCCAAACAATAGAATATATAGCTCAATAATCTGTAAACAATATATATGATACAAATTATTAATATCGTATAACTTGTTAATTATTAAGTATTTGGGATTTTTCTTGCTCCATCAACTTTTATGATAATCGTTTTGTATGAAACTCTACGTTTGAGTTTTTTGGATTAGTAACTAAGATAAGACAGTTTTTATTTGTTGAAATCGGGACAAAAATATACAAGCTTTCAGAACTATGACTTTCATTGCCATTTTCATAAGTAAATTTGAAAATCAAAGATGAGAGTTACAAACCTTTTTGAGTGTTGTCAAAACTAAAAGCATTTATCAATTATCCTTTTGTTACGTCTATCATCTACCTTGCAAGCTTTCTTGTAATTACAATTAAAGTTCGACTCTTTACTCATATAATTAATTGGTACTTGGTAGGAATATGTCAAAAATAAGTTCATATTTTTTAAAGGCGGAAAATTTTATATATAAATCAACAAAAAAATTAAGACACTTTCTCTTCTAAATTACAAAAAGGACAACGTTAGTGATGTCACTTATGCTTGATCAATAAGCTGTTATAAACAATCAATTGTTTTATTACTTATTAATTAGATGTTCATGTCAAACTTTGGAAATTTTGAGGAACAAAGAAGATACTATATTACTGTTGGTGGAGATATATATGGTTTTCTTTGATTTTATCCAAAATTTCATTTAATAACATCGGGTATCCAGTGTTGCCCTTCCTCCTTGAGGTTGAGGGTTCAAGTCCCACTGTGGACATTGGTGGAATAATTTAGAAGTAGTTTAGTATAATATTGTATTTGCAGTTCCAAAAAAAAAAATTAAAAAAATAATAACATCGGAGATTTAGAAACCGATCAAATATGTACTAACAAGCTTGCCTTCAAGCATTTGTGGCTTTCAAATTAAGCTAAGTATTTGATATGGACAACCGTACTTATAAGACAATAAAGACACTTTCAATCGAAGATCACTTGCACAGTTGCACGTATTGATAAAATTAAAAATTATTTATTAGAAATATATAAATAAAAGATAGGATGATAAATAAAATATTCTAAACTTTTTGTGGAGTGTTCTTTAGTTTTGGAAAGGACAAATGCCGTAAATACCCTACAAAGTTTTTAGGGTTAGTTTATTTAGTCCCTGAAGTATTTTTGTTTCTTTATGGGACATAAACACTTTTGCAATATGTCGTTTTAGCCAACAAGACTTATTTATCCGGGGTTACAGTGTCACGTAGACAACATTTTTCACATCAACTTTGTTCTGCAAACACCATATTCCCAAATCTCTCTTCAACCGACTCAAATCTCGATTCTATTTCCTCCAATTCCAAACCAACCATCCTTGTCATAGAAAAATTAGGAGATACGGGTCTTGATCTTCTCAAAAGCTTCGTCAACACTGATTGCTTCTACAACCTCTCTCTGGACGATTTATGTTCAAAGGTCACCATGTGTGATGCGTTGATCGTCATAAGTGGTACAAAAGTCAACCACCGGGTCTTTGAAGTCGTTAAAGGTCGATTGAAGGTGATTGCGAGAGAAGGTGTATGTATCGATAATGTAGATCTACAAGTTGTCACAAAATTTGGATGCCGAAATCGAAAAAGGAAAATGATCGGAAAATATATACTTACCGGTTGTACGACCACTAGCATAGAGAGAAAGGACAACTTGAATTGTGACATGCATAGCAGGAGTATTGAAAGTTTCAAACATGATTTGTGTCGATCTAGTAATTCTGCTCTGCAAAGGAACTTTTCAGGTGGTGGCGGTGTTGGGAAGGGCGGCAACAACGACAGTACCATCGCCCTTCCTTCCTCTTCATTTAATTGCGGTAAAAAGTAAAATTTATTTGGGGCTTGTTACTCTTTCAATACGTTTATGTGAATTTTGGGCTTGTTTTTATTCGTTTTAAACTTTTAATGCTTCTGGGATTGTTTCATAGCTTTAAGGGATATGGTACACAAGGTCACAATGACAGTGGTATAGTAGATGTTTGATGATTTCTCTTCTTCGTTTTTCTGGTATGGAATGCAAAAATCGAAACCAAGATGGAATGCAGAAATGGAGACCCACATGTATCTACCGAAAACCCAATAATCAAAACCCCAACAACACACACAGAGATAGATAGAGAGATGTCAGCTCAAAGTGCTTATGTGGCTTAGAAAACCTAGTATATTATGTAGCAGTGACCAAAAAAGAAGGTGGTTGTACACTTTATGCCCTTATAAAGGAACAAAAATATTTTAGTGACTAAATGGACTTGCCCTTTTAGAAATGCAAATTTGAGTTAGAATGAAGCAATCATAAAGAATCTCGTTGTTTGCTATGGAGATAGATGAAACCGAATACATCTTCTACTTGGAGAAAACTAGGGCATTAACATTATTTGACCGATTCGTGAATTAGGTTGTTGATATAAGTGAGGGACGAGTCACGTATGAGAACACGTCATTATTGATTATCCCACGTAGGATGCCAAGAGCAAAACCTGAAGAAATTGGTCATAAGGATTGAATGTGTACAAAAACATTAAAGACAAAATGTGTACAGACTGAAAATTATATTACCCTAGTAATTAATTTTTTTTCGGCTTAACCTAAAATAACCAATTATAAGAATTAAATGTATACAAAGAAAAAAAGTTCAATAATCAACATGGAAAAAAAATATATTAAATGTGTACAAGTTAAATCGTCACTTAGCAATTTGCATGATATTACATATATTTAACTTTTCAAGAAACATATATCACTACTAATGAAACAATTATCGATCCAATTATGAATAGCTAATATAATTTCTGTAAGTATTAAATAAAAACTCACTTATATGGTTTATTTTGTAATGACAATATATTATTCAAAAATAACAAGATGGTAGTAAATGAGCATTACATATAACATGATTATGATTGTAAAACCAACAAACATAGTTCCTCTGACTATATTTTCTACTCCTATAGAGATCCAGCAAATGCCTAGAAGACAATATTGCCAAATTAAGATCTCCAACTTTAAGGGTTTGATTGTTCGAGTTAAAACGGTGTTCCAAAATTTGCTTAATCGAGATAGTGGTGATGATGATCGTATCGAAGTATTTCCTTTGAATCACGACCAAATTTAATAAATTTGTCCAAATTATCAAATCTTTACACGTGTTGTCGGATGAAACATGAACATTCCACCATTTTCGTATCCTAATCCAAATGGAGTCAATCAACAAAAAGATGATCCATTTTCTCTATAGGATACTTATATTGTATTAATTGCTAGAAACACTTTGAAAAACAAATAATAATAATTAGATTCAAATCTCACACATATTTGCAAGTTACAAGTACATGTGTCATATATGTATATATGTTTGTATATGTATATGTGTTTATGGTGTTATCTTTAAGGGAAAATAGCATTGTAGCACAACAAAATTTGTATTTTTTTTTCTATTGGATCATCAAAGTCATTAAAGTTACATTTTACATGTAAATTACGTCACTTTTGATGGTGTGAACTGTGAAGCATTCAGCCGGATCTGCCATTTAATAAACCTTTGTATTTACTTTGCGAAAATCACGTAGGTAATTCCACATATTATTTAATGAGGGTCCTTAAATAAAGTGGATCAAACTTTTTCCGTTTAATACTCATTCAACAATTCCTCATCCTTACATTTAACATCTCAATTACACAACCACAACCACCACCGTCCACCTCCCATCGCAACCACCACCATTCATCTTCCTCCAACCACCATGAACACACCAAAAAGAAACCCATAAAAATATTAAGAAGTTCAAAGCTTCAAAAACCTAGAAAGTAACTTGAAATCTTTAAACAAAATTAAAGCCCCAAATCAAAGTTTGAGACAGATCAAAGAAGTAACTTGAAATCTTTAAACTAAATAAAAACTAAAATCAAAGTTTTGTTCCTTATTAAGATGGAGGTTGAAGACGATGATGAAGACAAAACTAAACCACCACCGTTTCTACACTTAGGAACCAAACTAATCAAGAAACGAATCCATAAATTATGAAAAAATCCAAACAGTTGCAAGGAAAACTAAAACAAAAACTCCCAAATCGAAAGGAATAGATGGCATGCAATAGGAGAACCGATTTCAGAACCCAGAAAAGAGAATCGGGTCATAACAAAAAATTGTGAAAAAAAACTCGAACCAAACACCTGTGAAAAATACGTGATCTCTAATACATCGTCTAGAGTAAAAGCCCAAAAGGAATTAATTGTGAGTTGCATGGTGGTGGTTTGGGAGATAAAAGGTCGATGGGTTGTAAGAGCGTAGAGGCTTGTGCTCTGGAAGAGGAGGCGTGACTAGTAACTCATATAGGTTTCATCAATTCAATGTTGGTTACTAAATTATTGAAATTGAAAATGAATTTTAAGATTTTATAATTAGAAACAAACAAATAAAGCAACAAATTTCATATTTTTAGTGTAGCGTCAATGACGCGACCTGATTTTGAACCGGAAGGAATTCGGTTGCGATGTTGGCGCTGGTTTGAATAATGTTTGGAAATTGAAAGCTGGAAATAATTTTTTGAAAATTACATTAAAAGTTATATAAATAGAATTTGTTTACGTTGTAATTATCCATTACATTCTTGTGTACGAGGAAAGATCCGGTGTACATCTCCATATGAAAAAAGAAATTTAGGTCCCGTTTGATAGACATATTTCCAGGTCCAAACAGATCTTTTTGGCTGAATAGATCGGAAAGACTGTTTGATATGCACAAAAAAATAAGTTTTTCCCGGTAAGATATGACTTTCCCAGAAAACTCCAAAATCATATCTTTCTGGCTGAATAGACTGAAAAGACAATTGTGTCCCAAACTCGTCTCTTTCTTTTTTGGATTATTAATTTCTTTTAAATAATTTTTTAAATTTCCTTTTTATTGAATTATTATTTTTTTATTGGATTATTATATATTAATAAATATTATTTTTAATGGCTAAAAAAAACAAAAATGGCTAAAAAGAATAACAAAATAACATCAACTTGAAAAACAATAAACTAAAACCAACTTAATCGACATTCTATTTGGATAATGATTATTGTGTAATTTTGATTTTGTATGACAATTTATATGTTTTTATAATTATTCAGCAACTTCATCCATCACAGTATTAAACAGCAGGATAATATTGTCATTTTTCATCATTCAGCAGATTCAATTTGATGTACAATCAAACAACATGATTTCTTTCCCAGACAGCACTTTCCCAGACAGAAACTATCAAACGGGACCTTAGTCTCGATCTCTTGTTTATGACAAAAGAAGACGTAAATACATGTTTCTTCGCATACTCTCGAACAGAATCTTGGTCTGGTCCACCATTCTAGATATCGCAAATGCATCAAGCAGGATGTTATACACCTTTTGTGTTAGATATCAAATAGAAGAAGCAAAGATTCAATCTTCGGTAAACCTCGAAAAAGCAAAAGCAGAAGCTTGATCAAGAAAACTTGAGGTAAAAAAAACATGATTTTGATTTCCTTCTCCAATGAACACATGTAATGAAAGTGAAAATTACATCTAAATCTTATATATTTTAGATATTGGTTGGCCAAAGTAGTAGGTATTTTAAGAACATTTCACATGATGTCAATCTTCAGTAAAACATGACCATTGTGTGCCAGAGTCCCGAGGTAGAAAGCATAGAGAACATTAGATATAAACAACCACAAACATAAATGAAATCTATATCCAAAGGTAATTTACCTGGGTTAGGTACTGAATGCATCAGCTTCATAGCATTTGAAAATTTCATTATACACCTTCAATAAGTCAATCACATACCGCACTCTCACACCATTCTATGTCTCATAAGCTATTTCAAGCATAGAAAACTCAAAACGAACTGTTTTACTTTCGAATATGTCACCAGAAACATCCAGTTCATGAACCTCATAAGAAATGGAAATAAGATAGTAAATTAGTAATGATGTTGAATTGGCAATTATCAATGAAAAAAACAACATAAAAGTTGTCATTTCAGCAAAAACATGTAAAAGTTAGCCTGCAAATAGATGAACTTACATTATCATTATATTCAACCTTCTTTCCTTGCACCACGTCTACAAAAATTTGCAAAAGGGTTAACTTTTTTATGAATAAAAGATTGTTGTTAAAAACTGAAAAAAAAAGTCAGCCACTTACATGGAATGTTCCAGTCAGTTGAAGACTCTAATTAGCGTGTGAACAATAAATTATAGTCCGCCTAAATAATTGGGAGAATATGATAAAATATACATTAATGTGGTACATTCTATAGTATCTTTTAAGCTAAATGATACAGAGGCCTATGTGGTTGCAGTTGGACATATAATAATTTATTGTATCTTTCATTACTGTTTTATAAAAATTGAGTACATATAAAAGTTAACTTTTAACATAAACCAGAAAAGCTCTAAAGTGACATATTAATTATCAAGTTTTGTTAGGTCACTTCTAAAATTGAAAATTAATCCAAAAATCATGCATAACTTAAGTTAAATTAATACATATTAGCTATCATCGTACAACGAATGAGAAGGAAAACGGGCAACAAGTTGCGTCGCTAAGCCTTTTTGTATTGTAATGTCAATTCTTTTGAAGACTATATCCATAGATCTAGCGGATATAACATTGCTATTCATGATCCGTTGTACTCTACTAAGAAGCTCCACCGCATCCGACACAAGGAAACCAAACGTATCAAATGCAAAAGGTATGAACACGTGTTGATTTTCCACGCACGATTTCTCATGTTTGGTAACCTTGCATGTAGCAGCTTTTAATGCAGCATGTCCCGCCATAAAACCCCCAACCATCAAGCCTAC